AGCCGCGCCGCCTGGCGCCCCCTAGCGGGGGGCTGCAACTCCCGTCATCCCAGCCCCGACTCCGGCCCGGCGGGGAAGGCGCCAGCCTCGTGGCTGGGCATGATAGGGCTTGTAGTCCACCCCAGTGGGGCAAGCTGCTCGGATGGGGATCTGTGGATGGGGCTGAAAGATGGTGGAGGTCCCATTTCTCCCCAGTGGGTAACCTTTAGAAATGGTCTTTGGCCATCAGTTGAGCCCCCTTGGCCGCAGAAAGCTTTGATGCAAGGCTCGCCTCTGATACAAGCACGTTGTGCAACTCGCTTTAGGGAGCGCAGAATGAGATCTTGTGGAAGGGCTGAACTTCAGCAACCGTGCACAGATGTTGGAACTACCGGCCCACGGAACTAGGAGTCTTTGGAGGATGGCACAATCCAGAGAAAACTATGAAAAGTATACTGCATAATTAAGACTGCGTATCCAGAACAATATTAATTCCCTTCCAAGCCAGAAGAACTCAAATAGTTACCCGCTTCTTTAGGAGTTAGGCCTGGCTTTCTGAATTAAGTGCATCGATAGTAATCCAAGCAATTTACCTACACTAGTTCTGTTTAATTTCTGGCCAGACCAGAAGTATTCATAGAACTGTACATCTTTTGGAATTAGGCCTGGCTGTCTTTAAAGAAATGTATAACTATTCATATTGGCTGAACAAAATCTGCGCGTTTTAAATGGCATTTTCCTTAATCCGTATTTGCAAAAAGATGACAGGAGGGGTTAGTAGATGGCTGTGCAATATGGAACTTACAGAATATTTATACGAATGATACATAGGTTTCATAAACAAAAGGGACTTTTGTAGTTCTTCAGGCAGGTGAAGAGAATCAACAGAGGAAAGTGAAGACAGGAGATACTGCAGTCATAAGGGTGCTACAATCTTGATGGCACGTTCGGGGATTATAATTGAATTGTGGGGGGGATCTGATCCCTAAATGGCCTGCCTGTCTTTCAAAAGGGCCAGCTCCACAGAGCAGTCGGACTAAAGGGAAGTCAGCTGGTAAAGCAGATTGGAAATCCTGGGCTAATCTCTCTGGATACAGAACAGACTTAGAGAATATCTCTGTTGCTATTTTTTCATTAAATGGGTAGCTTCAAGGGAGCATACATAATGCCCTAATAATTTTTGTAAAGTTGTAAGGCAGCTTTCTACATTCCTTTGGAAGAGAGGCATATGTAGAATTCCTTTCTTGCAGGTCCAGGTACTTCCTTCTTGCTGACCTTTCCTCCCTGCTTTTTTTCTGTTCTCACCACCATCCATGCATTCACTTACGCAGGAAAAATAAAGCATTCACAGTTTGCAGGAGTTGCCGCAGCCAGCTAGAATGGATCCTCCTATGCTTTTGCTGATGCATTTGGGGGGTGAGAAACACGAGGTGGTGCTCTTCCCTTAGAAATGTCAGCTGGTGTATGCATCGACTTGATGATGCAATACAAAACCAGCCTCTCAGCTGACTTAATTACGACAGCAATTACTTCCAAATGCCCTTTGGTTGTGGGGTTTTGTTTTCTATTCTCTTATGAGAATTGTTGGAAAGCAACGTTTGTTACAATAAATATTTAAACTCGGAGCTGTTCTGTGTAATTTGTTTTAAGGATGTCAGTCAAATCAGATTGGCAAAGTTATACTGTAATCTATGATTGGATTCCTTGAAGTGGATTGCAGACAATTCCAGGCAAGTCAAGTCCAAGCATTCTCTGTCCCGCTCGTCCTCTGATCTGAACTGTTCAAATATCTCTGCAGAATCCGGGCCTGGCTTTTGCAACGTGTCAGCGTCTTTACTCACACACAAGGGTTGCCAATTCGGGGGGGGGGCGGATTAAGGACCCAGCCTTAGTTTTTCCCTTGAGTTTCTTCATTCTGGTTGTTCTGGTTATTAATTTAGAGCAGAAAATGATTAGGTACAGGTTTAATTAGCTGAAACGGTATCCTGGAAATGCATGCAGGAACATCCTGGCAGGCTAGATTGATTACTACATCT